AATGTCCTTGCTGGTCTTCCCTATTAAATGAAGGAATACTTTTTTAAAGAGTGCATTTGAGGTTCACAAATATTATAAAACCATACAAAATAGAAACCCCATTGCCTTAAATTACTGTTTTAATTCTGGTTTCATCCTTTTTCTTGCCTGTGCCTTGGATTAGAAATTGCTTAAAAAGCTGTGGACATTCCACCAGATGGGGAAGGGACAAAATAAAATGCCAAGAATTTAGCTGTCAACAAAATCTTGGGAGGTAGTTGTGTACTTTGGAATCTTACTGTCTTAAATCCAGAGTTCCCAAGCTTCATATTTCCCCCACCCCTAGCTCAAGGGCCAGGCTGGGAGATGGGGCATGTTAGGATTAGAGGACTTGTTTCAGTGACCTTGCATTCCTTTTCCATGATCCAGCAGCAGGTGTTGCCCAAATCAGTGCTTTTGAGCAGTGATGGTCAATGTAGAATTTTGGCTCTTCCAAACTAGAGTATTTGATACTTTGGTTTTCAAAATACCGTATTAGTCACTTTATATTTGTTTCAGAATTTGTGAGTATAAGTGAGAATGAGACATGGTTGCCCTAGGTTAGTACTTACAATTTATTTTGTGCATGTGAATTAATGATAGATATTTATTGTAGAAGTTTACAAGTCTTTTTAAATGTTTTATATTGCTTTAAAAGAGCTGAGGTCCCCTAAAGAAGAGAGAACATTAGAAATTACCCAATCCTAATATATATATAATAGTCAGAACATATAATATTATATATAGTGATAGATGTAACGTACATGTGTGTATTTATTCTGCAAGTGGATGGAAGTGGAGAAAAAATTAAATACTCATTGTACATTAGAAAATCATTAAGTGCATAAGCTGAGTGATTTTTTTTAATGGGCAGAGAAATACTTTTCACGTGAGCTCTGGTATTTTGAAATTTCTTTCTTGTGTGATTGAGTTAATGATGAGCAGAATTTGGGTATTTTTTTTTTTAAGGCACAGGAAACACCTGCCACAGGTGGATTGAGACAATATTTTCTTTCTGGGGAAAGAGGAGGTATTGGAGGGCGGAGCAGAGCTCTCTGTCTCCCACACTTGCCTGCACACAAACGGTGGCCAGTATTGATCTTACTAACGTTTTAAAAACCCTTCCCATATGGTGTAGCCACGGGGGGAGGCGGGGAATGCTGTGAGAATCTGCTGCCACCAGGCATTTCTAAAGTTTGGGCCTTCCCTCATTTACTGGGCTTCCTTCTGCTGAGCTGACTTCAGAAGATATAGTAGCTATTTCAGTTCCTTTTGAACACCAATAGGATAGGACAAGGATTAATCCTGGCAACAGTTAAAAACATTAAGCTGACTCATGACAGCATGTACCCTCCCTGGCTGCTCATTTCTGAACTTGGAAGTGGTAGCTCTTTATGGGTTTATCTTGGTCCTAAAGCACTTGGTTTTGTAGATCTTAGTAATAATAGCTAGCATACTGCATGCCTGCTTTATACCAGGCCTTGTCCAAGCATTACCTCTGTTTTTCAGAACAACCAGGCGAGCTAGTTGTTATTATTCCTATTTTATAATTGATCTGCTGAGGCTCAAAGAAAAGAAATTAGTTTCTCAGGACCTTGTGGCTGGATGAGGTGCTGACCTTGGTATTCACACTTTTTGTCTTTCTTTTCATGGGTCACACTGCTTCTCTTAGAATTCGGTGTGGCCAGGATTACGTGAAGGATTCTTAGTAGTGAAAACAGATTGTCAGATTCCCACCTGTTCCTTTTGTTACTGTTGGGATGATCAGCTAGTTTTCATGGCTTGTCTGTGTCTATTGCTTTCTTCTTTTTTTTTTCCCTTTCTCATGTTGAAGTGTAAGAGAGAGAAGGAACAGGTATGTGAATCATGTGTGCTCACATGGGTCTGTGTGTATCTGGGAGAGGGAGGAAGGAAGGCGGTTGATTTCTCACTTGCCAATGACAGATTGCTGAGGCTGCTTGCTTCAGTCAAGGCTGGTTGTGATGAAAACCTCCATGGAGTGTAATGCTTCCCTCTAAATTTCAATAATCCTTGGCCCAATTAAAATCCATCTTTTAGGGGCGCCTGGGTGGCTCAGTCATTAAGCGTCTGCCTTCGGCTCAGGTCATCATCCCAGAGTCCTGGGATCGAGCCCCGCATCGGGCTCCCTGCTCAGCAGAAGCCTGCTTCTCCCTCTCCCACTCCCCCTGCTTGTGTTCCCTCTCTCGCTGTGTTTCTCTCTGTCAAATAAATAAATAAAATCTTAAAAAAAAATCCATCTTTTAATTCAAAAATTGGAGGTAATGAATTGCCCAGTTATACAGCCGTAATGGTGTTTTGAGTTCTTAAAAAGTTTAGAATGGAGATTAACAGTGCAGGAAGTGGCAAGTCAAATGGGCAGTCAAAAAAAGTCCCCCCTGATTTCTAGAGATAGATGCATTTGTACTTTCTCTCTTTTTGCACTTTTATCTTTCTGCATCCCACCTCCCCCTGTCCTGGGCATGTCTTACTGCGTAGATCTTAGGACACGGAGCAAATACAGAAGAGATATATCACCAATTAAAATAATACATAGGAGGAAGAGTGCATGAGCTTGTGAGAATAGTGACAGACAGGCTAAAGAACCGAGGAAAAGGACGCTTGAGGGAAGCTCACAATGTGACTGAAAGGGTTTTTGAAGCTGTGTTTGGAAGCATGTGCAGGGTGCCCAGGGTCAATAAGAGAGGCTGAAAGGCCAAACAAGTGCTTTTTGCTCCCTGTTTTCATCAGAGAAGGGCCCTGTAAATTGGGAAGTGTCAGATGGTCATTATGGAGGGAGCATTCGTGCCTCAATTAGGAGTTAGATAGGAAAACTACCCCAGATCCTACAGTGCGTACATCTACATCCCAAGTAATGTGGGCATTTTACTCTTGGTCTCAAGACCACATTATGCATCTTGTGAGAAATTACCAGAAAAATACAGTTGGGTGAATGTCCTAATTTGGGGGAAACATTATTTTCTAGAAGTTAAAGACCTGAAGTAAGCTTGATGTTCCCGGCAGAGCTATAGATAAATGACAAACCAGAGATCTTGTATGTGTTTAGGAAAGAATGTGGTGGTCGCTAGGAATCATCATAGACACCACTAAGAAGCCTTGCCAAGACTTATTTCCTTTAATTACTGCTTTCCTTTATTTATTTTTTGGAGGAGGGATACTAGATTGTTAGATACACAGATTCGTAAACTTCCATTTCATGTATGCTCATTTGGTTCAAATAATGGCTCCCAAACTCATTTTTGGCAACTCTTGACTTCATCGGTAAAGTATTTGAGAAATCTCTTCCAACCTTATAAGAAGGAGGAGGTAAGCTGGTTAGGTGCTAGTGTTACGTAGATTTCCATATTTTGAAAACTAAGCTAAAACTTTGCTGATTAATGAATGACATAAGTCCTCATGGGGAAATGCTCAGGAAGGCACTGTCATTGGTCCTGTTTTTCACCAGAAAAAAAACTAAAAACCCAACAGCAAAAAAATTCCTATAGAAAAAGGACATCCCACTGTCAGATATGCAGATAAGAGAAAGCCAGGAGAAATAGCTGGTACAAAGTGGTGAAACGAAAAATTCAAATCATTTTGTTGGCTTCTCATTATTACATTGGTAACTACTAGTGTTAGCATAACAAGGGAAGATTTAATATTTATAAATATCAAGTCTTGAATTTATTCCAGAAGTCACTGAAGCAATATGAGGTAAGGGAAATATAATTTTGAGGTAGTTGTGGGAATTTTGGAATTCTGGCTAACCATAAATACCATTGTGACTAATATATCTATAAACAAACAAATGGAAGAAAGAAACAAAAAACAACCCTAAAATAAAAAGAATAAAACTTAAATGATTTTAGATGGCATTTTATGAATGTAAGAGCCATATGTGAAATGGTGGGTTCTATCGTTACCATTCATTCCAGCATTATAAGGAGAAGAATAGTTGGTTCTGGGTGGCATGTTATAAGGACATCAAAAAAAAAATAATTGGCATAGTTTCCTGAGAATGTTGATGGGTGTGGTGAGTGCCATACCTGGATCTCATGTCCTAGAAACATCCTAGAAGGAATTTGGAATGCTTAGCCACTAGGAGACTAAGGGAGGACACAGTGGCTGCTTTTAAATCTTGAGCAGGATTGTAAATGTACCTCCATTCTTAGGGTTGAACCAGAAGCAAAGAATCCACAGGATATAAGGGAACAAATTTAGCTCCATATCAGGGAAACTAACAAGTGAAACTGACCAGTGACTTTAGAATGGGAGGCCTGGGGAAGAAATGACCATTACTTTGCTCTAATACTGGAGATCAAGTTGGACCTACCTCATTGTATTAACAGCCCAGTTCCAGTGTTACTGTCTCTCCTTCTCTTTGCAAAATGTTTTCTTTCTCACTTGGTTTTGACCCGCAGCACCATACACAGTAAGGATTGCAGTGGGTGCCTAGTAAATATTGGGTGAAAGGATGAAGCTGAGCAGCGGACTGTCCTGGGTTCTTAGGTAACAAGGTGTCAGACAGCGGAACTAAGAACAATCAATCTATTGTATCCCCTCCCATGTGCTATTAATTTATTCCTGCTTTGAGTAGCTAACTTTTGGAGAAAATTTGTTCTAAATTACATGAGAACAAAAGATTTTTTTTAGAGGGTTACATCTAGCAAAGCATTTTTACTGTAATTTGAATTTTTAATCATTGATATTGCTCACGTTTAAGCAAAGTAGCTTGGTTCACTGGAGAGTGTTTTGACATTTTTAGAATGATCACCAAAACTGTCATCTCTTGAGGGTTTTAGTCAATCATCAAGAAAATCATGATTTTCAAATTTGGAAGATTTAACAAAAAGAAATAGAATAAATGAAAATGATGCTATCAAAGTTGTGAAAGGTTGCCTTTCTTCCAGTAGTGATAGATCTTGAGATGCACTAGGTTGAGTGTCACTGAGTAATTTCCTCCTTTGTTATTGTGTTCGATTTAGGTGGATTTGAAAGTCATTGAGAAGTGGATGGATGGTGTGAAAGACTTCTTAATGAAAGCGCAGGTGGTCCAAGGAGACGCGGAAGGGCTACAAAGTCAGTTGGACCAGTGCTCTGTGAGTTCTGCTGACTTAGGGCCTCTGCTATAATAAATAACATTTCCGTCTGCTTCTTTGTTATTTGCTGTTATTAAAATTGCACGAATATGACATGACAACAAACCAAGATAAAATATCTTTCACCATAAACCTTTTTTTTTTTTTTTTTTTTACTTTATCGTTATTAAAAGAATGACTGGTTATTCATATTTTCATTTTTGGCCAGGGTTATAGAATTTTGCATAGAGAGAATAAGAGCAATTTTAATTAATTAGGAGCTTCGCTATTTTATGTTCCATTGATAATTTTAGGGTCATAATTACCAATTATATATTGGTTTTATTATGCCACATGGTGAGGTTTAAAGAAAAACATATTTAACAAGTGAAATTTGCCAGTAAGACTGCATGCAATTTATATTTGGTGAAATCATTAGGCTTTTCTAAATTAATTGAGAGTACTATTCCCTGCCGAGAGTCAAGTATTTCCAATCTAATTTGGCAGATGGCTATATGAAGCACCCAGGTGAAATGAATTTTTCAAGGCACAATATTTCTTAAGTAGTTAAAAGTCCTGACTCCCAAGCAGTCGGTTTTTATAATATTTTCAGGGATGCAAGCAGAGACAAATTATAATTATGGCACCCACTTATATAGGAATGAACTCAACATGGGTTTGTTTCTGTGTTCAGGCCTTTGTTAATGAAATAGAAACAGTGGAATCATCTCTGAAAGACATGGAAGAAATAGAGGCTAACCTTCGAAGCTGTCCAGCTGCTGGAATCAAAACCTGGATGCAGACAAAACTAGTGGACTACCAAACCCAATTGGAGAAACTTAGCAAGGAGGTAAGTTTTTCAGCTTTGCTGTCTGTGGCCTTTAAGAGGCAGACCGTTCCTTTTTTTCAGTGTCTGAATTGATTTTATAGCCCATCCAGTTTGAAAAACAGTGGTCTAGAATACCTATAGCGTGGGTGGCAGGTTGGGGCAAAAAAATGGATTTTTCTTTTAATGAAGGGAGGGTACTAACTGTCCAATTTGGCTCCTTGGTGGGAATGAGCTTGGTGTGTTCAACAAAGAACTAGAAAGGCAGTGTAGCTGGAATAGAATGAAGAGAGGAGTTAGCGGGTGGGTAAGATCTGAAATCAGAATGTAGGTGAGATGGATTGTATTGGCCTTTGAAACAAAATTTGAAAATTTTATTTCAAGGATGATTTCACACAGAAAGCAGAGGGTTTTGAGCAAGGAAGTGACATTACCGTGTGGGTACTTTGCTCTGGGAAAGCCAGAATGAAAACAGAGAGATTATTTAAGAGGTTATTGCTGTCTTGGCCCTTCAGACTAGAGAGATAGTGGTGGAGGTCATGAGGACTGTTAGATTTGGACTATATTTTGAAAATAGAGATAGGAGTCTAGTAATGGATTGGACATGTGATCTCAAAAAGGAAATGGTCAAGGACAACTGAGGTTTGGGCAGAGCTTCCACTTTGTGTGAATTGTGGTGCTATTTGGTGAAATGGTGGAGACTCAAGGAACGAGAAGCTTTTGTGAGAGCAGGTGAAACAATGATTTCCATTCTGGAAGGGTTAAGTGTGAGATTATGAGGCATGCAGATGGAGCTCTTCAGCACTTACTGCCGGAAAGAGGAAAGGATGAGTCCAAAGATGCTGAGAAGTTAGGGTCAGCTGGTGGAGTAACACGCCAGGAGGCTGTGAGGCCCCAGGGCCAGATGGAGAAAGCTTTCCACGGTGCCCTGTACTGAGGATTGCTGAGGCCAAGGAGAACTGAAAGTCAGGCTTTAGATCTGACAAGATGGAGGCTTTAAATGACCTTGAGGAAAGGGTCTGGTGGTATGGCAGGGAAGAGAGTCACGTTGGAGAATGTTGAGAGAGTGGGAAGTGAGCAGTTGGGACAACAAGCATACCCAACTTTGAGGGGCAGAGAAATGGGGTGGGTGCAGAGACCTGGGGTCCAAAGAGATGTTTTGTAACTTTTAGAAATAAAAGATGTTGCAGGATATTTCCATGCCGAAAAGACGGACCTCCCTAAGAAGGAGAAAATAATGAAACGGAGGAGTTTGGGAGAAGATATTCCTGGAGTTAAGTCTGTCATATGTGAGAGGGATGGGGTCCACTCTCTCTGTGAAAGAATTGTTGTTGGATAGTTTCTCCATGGTGATTGAAGGAAGGCAACTCTGGGTACAGTAGGACTGCAGTCTAACTGTTCTCTTCTGATTGCTGTTGCTTCGCCAGTGAGGTTACACAAAGCTCATGTGAGTGAGGACGGGTGAAAAATGGGAGGAGAAGACGTGAAATACAGGACTGTTCCGCAGACAGCCCTTACGTCGTACACATCTCTTCATGCAAGGTTTTTGGTTAATGTTTATGTAGGAAAAATTGATATTTGCATCCTTGGAATATTTTGTTTTCCCGTAAATTCTGTATTTTGAATATGTTCAAACTTAAAGGAAGTTTGAAATAAAGGTAGAGGGAGTAGCCACGTGCCCATTCCTTAATTTGCCAGTTGTAATGTTCTACCACATTGCTTTCTCTCTCTCCTTCACTCTCTCCACACACACTTTTTTCCCCCTAAAAATGTACTTTTTTTTAATTATGTTATGTTAATCACCATACATTATATCATTAGTTTTTGATGTAGTGTTCCATGATTCATTGTTTGCGCATAACACCCAGTGCTCCATGCAGAACGTGCCCTCGTTAATACCCATCACCAGGCTAACCCATCCTCCC